TAAATTATTCTAGCATTTCTCTTTGCTGCTGAGAAATTTGTGTCTCCCATTTGTCCACCAAAGACATAGGTAAATGACCAACGCAATCTTGGATATACGATGAAGTCCTAGATCCCTGTGACCAAGTCACTAGTGTAAAGGACACAGTTCTCCAGGCAGGTATCAAGTGCAGGAGGGCAGACATCCTAGTCCTCATCTCCTCCTTGTCCTTTGAAAAACCTTCACTTGTGTCAAATAAAGGAGCTTTGGTGCTCTTCTGACACAACCCTTGATCAGTCTTCCCACAGTAAGGTATGCAACCTAAAGAGGTTGGAATGAGCTGCAGCTTTATAGTATGGCCGTTCTGTCCTCCCTTCTCTCACCTGTAAAACAAGAAATTTCTTAAAGAACAGTCACTGAAAATGCCTATTTAAAATAGGAACATCAGGGCCTGTATATAGTAGGATTAGTGCATGCAAAATGTGTACCCCACTCTCTGTGGTGTTTGATACACAGTTATGGAAACAACCTACTGGAAACTGTAAAAATTATTCAGGTTAGAAAATATTACCTATGTGGCCTGCATCTTCACAGCAGCTAAGCAAGGGGATACGTTGCATGAAATATTACATACCTCCTTTCGGTATGTGGGATACTTAACTGACATTTCCTTTTTTTTTTCTCAACCTTTGTTCTGGGTAGTTAATATTGTGATACTATGATGCCACACCATCTGACAAGAGTCCTCAGTCTAAAGGCAAGAACCTTTCCCTCTTATAAATAGAGCCAAGGAAACTGTTGCACTGAAAAGAAGATAGAGCTATAATAGCAGATTTGTGGAAATCTAGCAGGGCCCTGGGGGACAGCTGAGGATATCAGTGTCTTATGTACATTTCCGTGCAGGCAGTATTCTCTACTAGACAGTGCAATCCAGTGAATATAGATGTAGCATTAACAGCCTGTGGCCCGAGGTTGTTCTTTTAGCTTTATGTTTCTCTTCCATTGTTTGTTTCTGCAACCCATTTGGCCTTGGACAGGAAAAGTTTTCAAAAATATTTGTTCAAATGTCACAAACTTATTACCAATGTTATGCAATTATTTATGTAGAAGCTTTCATAATCCATTATTTTTCCCACAGAACCTCATTGCATTTACATGGCAAGAAATTGAACTTGCCGGGCGAATGCCATTTTAAATCCATTTATTTTATATGACAGAAGCTTGCAGACATTCTAATTTTGGCTTAATATCTTTCTTGCGTTCTTGATAAATGAATTTCTGACTGTTTAAGCCAAAGAAAAACAATCCATTTAAAATCTGGTTTAATTAAACTAGTTAAAAGTAATCTGGGCTAACTTGATAACATTTGTATTGAACAGCCTTGGGTCAATCAGATTGGTTTTCCCATTCCCTGTGCCAGTGATGGGTCCCTGGCTTACACGCTTATAGGGCTCTATACTAATGTAACTGTCTGAAAAGTCAGGAACCCTGTTTTGTGAAAACATCTTGACTGCTTTTTTGTGTCATGTTACACTTTTGTTTCTGGTGCTTGAATTATTTTTGGATTTCGTAACAGAGTTTTGTGTCACTGTATGGAAATTACAACAGTTTCTTCTCACAAAAATGCACCTCAGACACCACTATAACTGCCGTTCTCCTTTAAGAAATTGAGCCTAAATATATATCTAAGTGACAGTCTGAGTTTTGTGTCTAAACTGATACACAGGATGTAGTTTAAACCCAGGAATATTCACTAGGATAGAATAAGGTAAATTAATTTACTGCAGAGGCATAGCTTGCTTTTAAGTCACCAGATTTGGCTGCTGTCACGGTTTTTCTTTTGTTTAGCTGTTCTGGCTCTCTAATTGAGGAAGAGATATATTTTGAGGGATAAACAAGTAGGAAAGAAAATACACAGAACCATAGGAATCTGGGGGGCATCCTTTTACAAGCCTCCCCTTTAGTCCTTCCTTACACTTCTTGATGGAGGTACCCTGCTGCATGTCCTACTCCTTCTTACCTCCAACAGCAGGTGAACTTCATATGCATGCATTTTAGCTCACACCTACTTGTAGAGATGCAGAGTGCTAAGGATGAGAAGTCCCTTCTGCCTCACTCAGTATCTGCAGCACAACCCAACATGTCATGGGAGAAGTGAAACCCCACTTGCTCTACCAGATGTTCTCATCTGGCATTGCTCATTACTGATATAATCCAGGATAAATGATAATTATTGATACTTCGAGGCTGTAAACCAGGAACATTGATTAAGCGCTGGAAAATAAACCAAAGCAGCTTCCAGAAATCAGAGCAATGATTTGGAAGGAAACTAATGCCCTGGCTGTGTCCTCTTATTGGAACAAAAAGAGACATGAGAGGAAAATACATTCTATTTTTCAGTAACACGGGCAACAACTGCCTGCATTGGATAATGTTTTCAATTTAGCCTCCAAGATAGCATGCAAGTCCAGGAAGATTTGTTACCTAGTTTGAAACAATTAGTATGTTGTTCATCTGTCATGTTTTATGAAGAAAGTGTGAGTTGAGCACAAAGACTCCTCTATTCTCTTCTCCAAGGCATGAGATAACTTCATAAAAATTTCCTTTGGAATAGTTAACCTCGGAAATATTTTCATTCAAAACAAGAACAAATGTAAAGCATCATGAGATTAGTCCTATCTTGACTATAGAAAGGATTCAGGGATCTGATGTGGGGTGAAAATAAGTAGCTGAGTAAATCCAAATTGATAAAAATCTGGTAGCTAAAATTCAAATAGTCAAAGACGTCCCTTTATGACAAAAAAAAAAAAAAAGGATATTTAGGACAAAAGAAGAGTGAATAAATTTGACCTGTGAATAAAAATATGTTCTACCCCATTGCTTAAAACTAAATCAAGAATATAACAACAAAATAAGCTGAGGGGACAATGGACAATTTCGGTACATTTGCTATAGCTAATACTGGAAACTCCACATTCCCAAACACAAGCTCCCTCACTCCACCCCTGTGCTCATGGCAGCGTGTCACTCAACACCACAAAAAGCAAGCAGAGAATTAGTAATGCTAAAGCTACATACAGATGACAAAGCTGAACAAGTTTACAAGTGTCACTGAAACAGATCAATCCTTTGATTGTACAAAGGCTATGGGTTCAATGGCCTTTGAGAGACCACCAGTTATTGTTGTGATGCTTTTGAAATGGAGGGCTTTCTTCAGGATCCAATGGGTAATTACATACCTTGTATGGAACAAGTTATTGCAATTTAAGAATAAAGAACTTGATCCTGCTCCCAATGATGTCAATAGGAAAACATCACTTACAACATGATTCTACAGTGTGGAAATGTTGTTTCACAAACGAGGACTGACCTCACCCTTTCATGTGTGGTTTTCTGAAGATTCTTGGGTTTAGGATTATAATATGTCTTTAGTTTATTACAAATGTTCACCAGAATGCATTTATTAAAAGTCTGGTGAATGACGTCCACCCAACGTCAGTATTTATTGTATTCTTTATTCCAAGAGATGCTACCATTTTTTAATAGATTGCGCCTGTTTTGTGAGAATGAACTTACAAAGTAGGAAACAATTTTTGTCCTGATAAACCTTAAAAATAGAGAGCAGCTCTACAGGAAAAAAAAAAAAAAAAAAAAAAAGAGGCCAGTTTTAGGCTACTGTACACTGAGCAGTTGTGCGTGCTGTGCGGGGGCACTCCTCATGTCCACACCTGTAACAGTTTACAAGACAGGTCATCACTGTTACCAGGATTGGTGGCACTGAATGGAAAATGGTTCTGGAAATCGCTCCATCCTGGGCAGCATAACCCATACGTGCTTCAAAGGTTAAAGTGGAGTTATGTCCCAGGCTGTTTTATAAGGAGATGGGTAAATATATAGTACAAAGCAAAGCAATCTAGCAAAATTCGGTGTAATTGAAGAACATACTGAAGGTGTTACTGAGCCTGTTAAAAGAGGACTTATTAAATAATGCGTGAATGACTTTTAACAACCTTTTTGTATCCGTGTGATACTGTCAGTCAGCATTTAACCTCAAATATGTAACTGAGGTGTTTACAGTTGTTGCGGAATATGAAATTGTTAGAAGTGACACTCATCTGTCTCCAGTCACTCGCTCAGACCTCATCACAAAGGAATTGTTTTGAAAAGCTCCTCTCAAATTATGGTCATAACCCCAGTGGTCAGACAGATGGTTTGCAGTAGTTAGGCAAAGAAATCTGCCAGCGGTATGTTCACAAAATAAACCTTATTGTGTCATTTGTAATTCAAACAGATCTGTGTCAACCTTGGGAGAACAGCAGCTGGGAATCTTATAGTTACTTTACATTTTATTTTGTCATCTCATGAGTGACTTGTAAAGTCTGTGGCAGAATTAATGAGTAGTCAAATGAAACATCTTGGACACTATTCTTGTGAACACTATGAATGAAGCTTAGCTTTTCCAGCCTCCTGCTGTATGATATCATGGCCTTGTGTCATTTCTGAATAATCCCATTTTATGCAGTAGTTTCATCTCATCTCTATTGTTCTTTAGTTTTCTTGCTGCGGTCATGTCTGTTGGCCATCACTCTGCATTACTCTTTCAAATTTATTTTTCCATGGGTAAAACTTCCTGGTTCTAAGGATAATATAGCTGAGGACATTTGAACTGTTCACGTTGTCTTTTTTGGGGGGAGAAACTGCAATAGCCTCAGTGAATCATGTTTGCTTATACACTAAAAAATACACACTGTCCTAATAAAATGGAAACTACATACAGACATACATCATTTGCCTATAGAAGCGAGAAAACTCTTTCTATTGAATGAAAACATACATCTAAACCCCACTGGATTTGAAATTTCAGTCATTGGCAGAATTAGTACGTGCTAAAACAAAGTGGATTCATTATTTCTGTTCTGTAGATGTCAAAATTATTAGCACATTCGGAAAAATCTAAGATTTCATACTCTGAACCATGCCAGCTTTTGTTAGATGCCTGAAACTTCTTTCATGTATTGCAGGTTGTCTTTGTCAGCTGGTGTAAAAGCTTCTGGGACTGTGGACTTGTTGCACTGGATGATGTGTCATTGAGCCTGGGGACCTGCCAGGCTGCTGGTAAGACCATGTATATTTGTTGTCCAACAGCTGCTACCCTTTTTAGTAAGAGTTCATGGCATACCTTCATTTTCCAAGCCTTCAGCTGCCTTCATCACACTGTTGTTTCCTTTCTTTTCTTTTTTCCAATACATATTGCATAAATCCTATTTTTGCAGCAGCATACATACAGCAAGGACCAGTTTTTGTTCATAGGGGTACTAGCTAATTCCTAATTGACTTCACTGGCTCTGTTGCAGTTATTTATAGGTCAACGTTCCTTTTGGAGCATTACAATTTAAAAAAAACCCCAACAGTCCGATTGAGGGGAAAGTAGTTTTCAAATGGCTTTTAGGAAAACAGGAATGGACCCAAAAGCACTATTTTCAAAACATAGCATTATTCTATTTAGTCCAGAAGTAGAGTTGTGCATGGCCAAGACAGTCCCTTGTCTGAACTGCAGTTCTCTAATGAAGACAGATACGATGAGCCCAACTCTCCCTCCTGTAGTGGGAGGAACTGAATGGTTTTGGGCAAGGCTTTACCCTCTGACATGCACATGCTAACCTCTCTGAACTCACCCAAACTCCCTCTTCTGGGTTTTTTTGAGGTTTGACAATACAACAATTGTATCCTAATTTGGAAACCACCCTCACGAGACAGGCACAATCTGTAATCCCATTCTTCTTCGGAATAAAGCCATGCCTGTGAAATAGCGATGAGCCTGATCGACCATGCCATTTATATTCCCATGTAATAAGAACTTCTTAATGACCTCCTTTGATTGGATTTCATGCATTCAGGCAGCTAACCATTACAGAACAGAGAGAAGTCACATGTATAAAACAAGATGCCATTTTTCTAAAGCATTTCCAATAATTGTCTTACGTAGTTCCAAAGTAATTTGAAAGGGACTTATCAGCGATAGCAGCAAAAAAAATGCCTGAAAATTGCCCCAGAGTATGTGAGGTATCAAGGCTTCCTCCATTCCAAAATGTGAAAGCAACTCAGTGTCTAGTCCTGAACTACAAATTCAGATTATAGCAGAAAAGCTGACAGAAGCTTCCTGGTGAGCATGTGAATTGTCAACTTTCTTCTGCATCATCTCATAGCATTGAAATAATGAAAATACTGTGGTAATTGCAGCTCTGTGGTCTGTTGTATGTGGTATTAGAATCTGGTGCCAAGGGAACATAAGAGAGCTAAATGTGGCTTTTGATTTCAGATCGCAGAAACTCCAATCTTTGACAAGACTCATGTAATATGCATGTTATACATGCTGGAGCTCATTAAACTGCTTGGGGTGCCACAGTAGTGAAGAAAATTACAGTGGTACAGCCCATTGTGGAGTAAGAGCTCTGATGAGATAATAAACTGTATGAGATGTTTTAAAGAATAGTAGTACATACTAGTGAGCCAGACTAGGGCACAGCTTTCCCCAAAGCTGTGAAGAAAATGAAATTTAATTTCGTACATCTTTTTGAAGCTACCTTTTGTAAGCTCGTATTGCTGTAAGTATAGCTAGGTCGATAAAAGTGATTTCAGCAGGTGAGTGAATGCGATACGTTGCTTGTTTAATCTCTCCATATACCCGTCTAATACATTTGCAGTTTTAAACAACGTCCTCTCCTTATAGATGTATTGCCGCCCAATCCTGGAGAGTGTACTTTTGAAAAAGATGAGTGTGTGTTTACCCAGAAGAAGAGAGGTCGTGGGAGTTGGCACAGGAGGAGGGGTCCAACTCCCACGTCTTACACTGGGCCGAAAGGAGACCACACTACCGGGGTAGGTGAGTTAAGCTCCACATTGAACTTTCAGAACAGAGATTGATAGTTAGTCAAAAATACTTTGAAATGATAACCTAAAACACAGAGAAAGTTTTTACTGTTCTGTTCAGATCAGTTATTAATCAAGTGAAGTAAACTTGTTTCTTAGGGACCCACGGATGGTTTTGAGAATGTGATGTTTAATCTGAATTACCTGCAAACCAAGCCGGTAATTTGGTCTTCATGTCCTAAAGTAGTCCTTTCCTTTGGGAAAAAATAAAAGGACAGGATGACTCTCCAGACCCTGCAGAAAAGCCTTCTTCCAAACCCCTAGTTTACATGAATATTCCCTGAAACTAAAATGCAGACAAGTGGCTGGGGGCTCTTTTGCATCAGCACCTTCCTGTTCGAACTTAGAAGAAAATATGGATAATGAAAGAGGTGCCACAGACCCTTTCTCTTGAAAAATCTGCTCCATACCCTCACTTCTGTAATTTAAATATTGAGGCAAGTAGGGCCCCCATTATCATGAGCGAGTGCACAAAAAACTGCATCAGAATTGCCCCCACACCGGGGGCAGTACCTGGTGACTAGTGGAAATGATGAACTGTGTCACTGTGTTGGGTGCTCACGTTCCTGCAGAAGAGGACCTCGGTAACAACTCCACTGACTTACACAGTATGTTGGATGAAACTGCCCTAAGGCTTGTGAACTTTAAATGCTTACATAGTTTTATAAAGGCCTTTGGGGCCTTTGGATGTGCCCTCCTCCACAGCAGCTAGCATTCTTTCAACAAGTCTTAAAGTCAGTTGCGGACAAGCTGTCTTATTCACTGTAGCCACCTATCCAGTCTGTTAAAAAATTTAGCTGGATTACAAAAGCAGCTGGCCTGCTCAAAGGGCTCACCAAAAGCTATTATTACTCTGTCAAGTCAACTGTGATGGAGCGTAAATCATGTTAAGCAGCTTACCAGGCATAGTTATTTCAGCTGTGCATATGAAGTCTTGCTCTATGCAAGCTTAATTGAATTTACTCTGGAAAACTGTTTTGTTTCTAGTTAAGAAAATAACAAATGCTTCTCGTTAATAAAATAACAACTGTTTTGTGTTGTTTCTGATCTCTTTATCTAAAAAGATGGCTTTGTGCACATTCAGCAAAATCTCCCTTTCCTTTCTCCTGGTAAAATTTCTGTAATAGCTGCATCCTGAGCAAGGTATGGAAATTGACTAGAGAGGTGGAAATTCATGGTGTGTGGGACTGACTGGCCAAAATCCTACATGTGGAACTCAGAATACAGATGGGAATGTTTCTCTTTGGCTTGAAATTTCAGATCACCGAGAAACTATGTTCTTCCATTCTTAATTCTAAACAGTACTGATTCTGGGTAGAAATATGAATAGCCTTCTGAGATAAGTTAAGTTTTAAATCTTGAAGTGTCTCTTATGTGTTACGAAATAAAAATGAGAAACATTACTTACAAAATCTGACCATATTCTGAGTGGATCTATTGGCCAAGTTATCTATGTAGAAAGCCTAGGCTATCTACAAATCAAGAAAATTTTCCCAATAATGATACCTTTGTGCTGTGGAATGACTTTCAAAAGGGAATGTTGAAATCCTTGTCCCTTTTCCATTTAAAAATTAGATGACATCATTAGAATGAATTAGATGACATACTGTCTGTCTTTGTTACCTGTGCTGCCCAGTTCTTCTGCATCAGCTAGACGTGTGTTCACCAGCTTTAAAATATGTGAGAATTTTTCCAAACAGTTTTTGAAGTTCATTTGAGGATTTTTATTTTGAAGTGTGTGTGAGACTCCTGGAGAGGCATTTGTAGGCCATCACTGTATTGTCTGGCAGACCCTTCTTTTTCTACAAGATATAATCCAAAAGGACATTACATTAAAGTTGCTGGCTGTTTTGGTAGGTAACCAAACTCAATTCCGTAAAAGAATTCAACATTCAGGTTTGTTTGATACTTTTCCCCCCCCTGGTTATTCCCTAGATAATATATTTTATTCTTCCTCTTTCAAATACCCTATATTCCAGCTCTTGTGTTTCCAAGGACAATAATCTTCTCCTTACAGTAGGAGCAACACTTGAAGAGTTTCTTGCTCAAGAAAAGGAATGGGATGTTAGCACAATTTTCTGATTTCTAAAGCAGAAACTGACTTTAGACCAATTTTCAATTTATGTAGATCACTAAGTATTCTGAGATCTGAGACTGATAGCTTGACTTAAGAAGTGATGAAGCAACAGAATCTTTTAAGTCTGGCCTGTGACAACAATATTTATTCCTTATTTCATACCTCTCTTTGCAGCAAGATGTGCTGAGAAATACAAGGATTTGAATTCACAAAAGCAAGAGCTGATCTAGTCTTTCCAACAAGTTTATAATAAATTTCAGGCTTTAGAACTAAAGGCAAGTTATTTATTATACTGTAGTATGAGCTGTAGGTTTTGATTTCTAACTGAAGGAGCTTTTAAGCCTAGTGAACATCAAAATCCTCGCAATGGCTTGCACTAGTTTTGGTATAAATAGCCTTGGGAATTCTCCAACACACTGTACGAAATTATCTCTTCTTTACAGACCTACAGCTGCAGATAATCTTCCTTTTCATCCTTTCTCTCTACTGCTGCTTACCACCAAACTACAACCCGCTTTAGAGGGGATGTCTTCAGCATGGGTTTGTGTAGATGATAGGACTCTGAGTATCATGGGACAACCCGAGTATCCACTGGCTGCTCTTGCTGCTCTCAGCTTTCCTCCTGCCTCACTGATCCTTAGGAATCCTCTCTCCCCTTGAGGTCAATCTCACCACCAGGACTTGTGGTGGCAGAAGGGCAGCTTGTTTTCTCCAACACCCCAAAAAGGGAGCAGTGGGCACGAAGAGCTGCTGCAAGACCTGAGTTCACTGCCTGCTGGCAGAGTGTACGTCCCAAGACACAGAAGAGCTGCCATATGCAGCAGATGGGACGTGGGGATGCTCCTCAGCCTTAAGACAGACCTCAGTTTGCTCCACTTGGAAATAACTGAATGATGGAGGGGGGGAGGGCAGGGGGCCGTAATTTGCCTGCCACCAATTAATGACTAATTTTTCCACAGATCAGAGTTCATGACAATCTTTCATTCCTTCACGGATTCTAGAGTCTAGTTTTCCTCACTTGTGTCTTCACACTTTGATCACAGAAAGAAAAATATTATTGATGTCATATGTGATTTAAAAAAGGTATTTCAATTCATTTGCTTTGTTAATAGCATCAGCTCCAACCACTGCCTAAATGATACCCGCAGATGTACCTGCAGCTGTCTCTGAATTCCAATTAATCAGCCTCTGTCAGAGTGCGTTCCTGGTTTAAGAACGGCTGATTTTTTCTTACTTTGTATTCCTTTCTGTTGCTACGTATTTCTTCAGATATAAACAAATTTTTAAGTGTTATCACATTAGCATTCACAAATATTACCATTATTACATTACACAATTATTACAATTTCACAAATATTACAGTTCACAAATGTAACGGTCTACGGCATAAAAATATTTATCAGAACTTTCAATCATAGTTTTTTATATAATGAGCATGTTGAGCGTAATTAACAGGCTGAGAGAATGTATTCTACTTTCCTAATATTTGCTTTTATATCTTTTTAAGGATACTACATGTATATAGAGGCATCCAATATGGTCTATGGGCAGAGAGCATACCTAGTTTCAAGATCACTAAGAGGATCCTCTGGAAAACAGTGCTTGACATTTTTCTATCACATGTATGGAGCCGGGACTGGATTATTAAGTGTTTATCTAAAAAAGGAAGGTGATGATGAAGAGATTCCTTTGTGGCGGAGGACGGGGGAACAAAGCATCTCATGGCTAAGGGGACTGATAGAATATGAAAGTGATAGAAACTACCAGGTAAGAAAAAAACAAAGAAAAAGCAGCCAAAATGGAATATTGAACTGAACTACATGCTAGAATCCAAGTTTGGGTTGTATATATATAAAAAAAATCTTAAAATGTAGATAGCATTGAATGGACACCTGAACAAGCTCAAGTAACGTATAATTTCTTACAAATGAAGGTAGGGAGGGAATTACTAAAGACATGAATAGGCTGCAAGTGTGAAAATAGTTCATTAATTCAAAGGTTTGGGTTTATTTTAAGTATTTAAATGCTGTTTTCCCATCATGTCTTGTCAGTAACGGTAGTTTTTATTTAGATCACTTGTGGAATTTCTTTTCCTACGGCTGTCTAAAGCCCTGTCTAGATTTCATATAACCACAAAGCTGTGATAAAATGGCTGCTTCTTGCAGGATGGTCTTTCTGAGGTGGCACCAAGAGCAAGGGATGATGCAAAGCCAGAGCTCTGCCTTTGGTTTCAACAGTGCCATCATTTCAGTATTTATTGCCAGAGACAAAGCCTTCTTCGGTTTCTTTGTCAAAGAGGAAGCTGAAATTGCTATTGACTGAAACAGCGCTGGGCACAAAAACTGCACTGGTCACTAATCAAAGATGTTGTGCGTTTTTTTTTAATCACTTTGCCTTAAGAGCCTGGAAATTAATTAGGAAAAAATAAACCTTTTACTGAAAGGCAAGTTTAGCTTAACAGCAAGCCCACAACATAATATTGTAATGCTTTTTTTCCCCCTCAAGGGTTGTTTGTATATGGGCAACACACAGAGACACACTTGGGCTGAAAAGCAAAATAGAAGTGCTACAGGACTAGAGAAAATTTATCAGTGGTCTATAACACACAGCAATTTCTTAACAAACTGTAACAACAAATTGGCTTCCTTTGGCATAGCACACACCCAAATTCTCTGAGCAGGGCCATCAGTCCACTGGTGGGGCACACAAGTTTCTTTTTGAGAAGCAGGCTTTCAGGACATGCTAGATCCTTGAACAGACTGCGTGGGTATTTAGTCCTTCCTCCTGCGGGATTCATGAAAAGCTGTCTCTTACCTTCACAGATTATTTTTGAGGCAATCCGCGGTGTATCAATGAGAAGTGACACTGCTATTGACGATATTCTGTTCCAGGCAGGACCCTGTTTGGGTAAGTTTAAACATACTTTATTTCTTTCAGGTGACACCTAGCAATTCGTGGTGCTTTTTGTAATTAGGCAGGTGGTACTTCTTCCCTTGATTTATCACTGAACCGATCTGACTTTAGTATCATGCTGCTGAGTTAGTGCAGAATTTTTGTTTTCTAATAAGACACAAGACCATACTCAGAATCTGGACTAGTAAAGATGCTGTAATGCTTTCTAAAAACCATATGGCAGTCCCATTTAAATCCAGCGTGGTAATTACATTCTGTCTTATGCATTCTTATATATGATAAAAATAAAAATGATTACAGTATTTCCCTCTTCTTTGTATTCTAGAAGTGGAAGAAATTCAATTCTCATCAGGCTATCCTGACAGCTTAAACGAAATTGAGTATTAAATACAGTCTGCTGAAAGGAATGAAGTGCATAGAAGATTTGTATGTGAGAAACTGCACAAACTGTCTGTTTTAAAATACGTTTTAAGGAAATACTGGACTGGTTTGAATATGCACCAATGTATAGGAAGAACTCAGAGCACTCATGTTCCTTGCCTTTGCAATGAAATTATTGACTCAGGGCTTCTTAGACTGTTTTTTTATATATTTTTTCTCTTTTGCATGAGGTATCAGTTATTATATAAAGGCTTCCCATTTTGCACAGATCATTCTTTTTAATGCCTTTTTTAAAATAAAAAACAAACCCGACCTTTCTGGTATATAGGTAAAAAGAGGAAAGTAAAGGTGCACAATTAAAATCCAATATTGTGTTATCTTAAATCTGCATTCAGTGAATGTTTTGTGTTGGGTACAGAATGGATTTTTGTTAAGGAAATTATAAATATTTTGAAATAATAAAGAAAATAGTATTAGCTACTAGTAATAGCCAACATGTTAAGTGCAATTATTCATGATGACAAATCTCTCTGGGAAACTCTTAACACTCTGCTGGCAATTTTTTATGGTTTTGTATTCTTTTACTATAACAAATATATTTGTTGTCCTTGCCAATAACCAACTCACTTTTACTGTTCCAGTATAATTCAGTGTAAGCTGCTGACATTTTGAACTATTTGAAATGAAACTCTTTGAAGCCATGTATTTTCTGGCATACAAGCCTTGGGGATTTTTTCAGTTTGTACACTCACAGAGAATGTACCTATGCTTTACGCTACCACAGATGTCTTGCATTAATATTATAGGAAACTGAATTCACACAACTTGTTAATTTTAGATTATATGTGTTTGTGTGTAGGGTTTTGTTTTGAAATTATTATAACTTCCTAATAAAATGTAACTTGGAAAATCATCTTATTGCTCTGCTGTAGATTTTATAGTTATCAGTGTAACAAGAAACAACTGAACCTAATATAATAGCCTGAATTCAATATTTTGAATGCAAAGAGAATGAAATGTGTGGGTCACATCACCTAAGACAGCTGACAGAAAGCAATCTGATCTGCTGCAGGAAGTTCCTGTATTGAGCCAAAACAATTATTCTTACAGCCATCACGTTCAAGCTGGTGCTACAAGATGTGAGCCCTGAAAAGTGAGTACAGCATTTGCTCCTTTCAGAACAAAGTATACTTTTTTTCCTAACGGCCTATAAGGATCAACAGCACCTGTGACAATCTAGCCCCTTGCATCTTTAGTAAGTTTTCATTTTGGTGACACAAACAATTGAAGAGATTGCTCAATTAAATACATTTGGTACTAATGTGTTTATTTGACCACACAGATTGAAGCAGCTTATTATTTTCTAGAGACAGAGACAAAATGAATTGACATCTTAACTGGCTGCCCTAGCTACTTACAGTCCCCAGTGGCAGCTGGTTTTGAATGCATCACTCTGGCTATTATTCTGAAAATGAAAGCAACCAGAAACAATACACTATTTCCTAAGAGCCAATATAGTTTTTCAGTTGTTCTGTAAAGCTTATGCTTTGGTATCAACATTCAGAACAAATTATCTAAGCAGAAAACAAGTGAAAATGAAGTGGTTAAAATCATCAGGCTTGGTGGTTCTCCATACTTCTGATGGGACTTTTCTGTAAATGAAATGAAGCACTAAGAATAACTACTGGATTCCCATCTCTAACAATTTATACAACTCTGCTTCACTCCATCAAAGTAATCAGATTTAGGCTGACACGAATATGGAAGTACTCTATTCTGCTCTCCATTGAGCGTTCTCTAGACACCTCACTTGTACGATGATTTTGCTGATACCACCAAGGGTAGTATTTATCCATAGGGCATGAAGCACTGTCCTGACTGCAAAAAAGAAGCTTAAGTTCTTCCTTCAGTAGGGAACAAGAGCACCTTTCCACCCATTTCTGCTGCAAGAGTTAAAGAACAGAGGGAGAATTTGAAAGGTGGCTTTACATTACTTTAGTGCCTGTTGAGTATCAGTTTATAGAATAGGAAATTCACAGACTAGTGTAAGAATGGCTGCAAAACATCTGAAAACTAGGGAAGGTGCATTAAGATTTCTCCTCTGGCAAACTTCAGTTTTATGGACATGAAAAACATCCCACCAGCTCTGTCCAAATAGGAAACCCTCTCTTCTTTCAAGAGCCCTTCTTGGTCCAAACACTGCCTACTTTGTGGCCTTTGCTGTCTCCTTTTTCCAGCTCTTAACAGCATCCATACTCACCAGATCCTGGAAAACACTCTCTGACAAACTCTGGGAAAAACAGATCTCTTCAGCAGTCTCCAGTGGGAACATGTTGAAATGGTTCTGCCTCTTTCTCTTTCAGCTGGAAGTCAGTGTTACTTAATGAGTCCAACTCTACCCTTTTGGTCTGCAAGCTTGAGACATAACTGATTTAGGAGACTACAACTTTTATTGATTAAGTAAGACATTACCAACTAATATTCTAATTAACTAACAGACATGCCAATGTGACTAATTTACAGTGACACAATTTTGCATTCCATTACACAGCTATTACAAAGCTATTATCACAAGTCTTATGAATGACATACTTTCAGTTTTATTATCCTTTCCCCTCCATACCACATGCACTAGGGTGCATTTCTAGGCTTCTTTATTCTTCTACACCAAGTCTTCTGGACATGGACCTGGTGGAGAGTCCAGTGGGCTATCCAAAGAGGCTGGCTGATGTCCTGGTGGGCTTGGACGTGCAGATCAGCCTTATTATCTGTGGGCATCTGCACTCATACTGTTGGAGCAGAAGTCCCCTTCATTCTTCAACGGATCTTAATTTTTCCTCCCACCTTTTTCCCTTTATCTGGAACAACCTTTTCACTGCTCTTGCGCCTCCCTTTGTCTACCTAACTTCCCCTCAAAGAAGCAACCTGCCTTAAATGACTTTTTCCTCATTGGTCCCAATTCTGCTGCGTCCATACCCAAAGGTGCTGTTCTGATGCCTTTACTGCGACAGTCTTGATCTCTGGAGGGTATTACAGGTATAGTTGCTTAGGTACAGGTGGCCTTGCAAGCCTCCGCATGTCAGGTATCTGGTTCATTTTGCAAAAACACTGTTTTCCTTGTAACCTTTCTAGGACAAATCACTCTAGTTATGGGTCAATTCCTTTACCTAGTTCCACTTAAGCTCAAGTAGTTTCTTATCTCTGTCTTTCAGCAGTCTTAATCAACCTCCTCATCCCTCGTAAGAGCTTTGGCTAGTTGCGACGATTTGTGCTCTCTACAACTATCTGAAAGGAGGCTGCAGAGAGGTGGGAGTCGACCTGTGCTGTCAAGTAACAGGTGATAGAACAAGAGGAAATGGCTTCAAGTTGCACCAAGGGAAGTTTAGATTGGACATTAGGAAAAATTTCTTTACTGAAAATCAGGCATTGAAACGCATTACCCAGGGCAATGGTGGAGTCCCTGGAAGTATTTAAGGGTCGTGTAGATATAGTGCTCAGGAGCATGGTTTAGTGGTGGACTTGTCAGTGTTAGGTTAATGATTGGACTAGATGATCCTACGGGTCTTTTCCAATATAGGAAATTCTGTGATTCTGTGATCAGGAACACTTGGTCTGAAAGAGAAAAAAAATAAAGCATGTGGGAAGGTAAGGGATCTGCAGGAGTCTCAGTGACACTAGTAGTTGCCCTGCAATCAAGGTGCCAAAATTTCACACAAACACACTACTCTAGGATCGTTTCTAAAGGGCATCCATCCTTCCCACAGACTCCCTGATCTCTGAAGTAACACCTGTAAACAGTGTTTTTTTCTGTTATTTTGTTAAAGGTTAAGAAAAAGAAAGGAAACCCAGAGAGGT